TCACTTCTGCTCCGATTCCGTGAAATCGATCTCCAGAAATCTCCGAGAAGATTGCAACGTTTTAATCAGCGACTATGCCTTGCAGAAGGCCCTTGGCCGTCTTTACAAAATCAAGAGTTTCAGCCGTCTGTTTTGTGACTTTTTAAATTTTATCACCCGTCAACAGGTAGTTTGTGACTTACAGCCGTTCCATTTAGTGACCGTTCAAAGTTACAACGGCACTGGAAAAAAAGGGACTTAGGGGCTGCTTTTCACACTTTATGACCATTGCAGCATCTCCACGGTCACGTGACCAAAAATTCGGACGCTTGTCTACTGGCTCGTATTTACGACGGTTTGCAGTGTCCCTGAGCCGTGCGCGATCCCCCTTTTACAATCTTCTGACGAGCAAGGTCAATGGGGGAAGCCGGATTCACTTAACAACTGTGTTACTGATTTAATAACTGCAGTGATTTGCTTAGTAACTCTAGCTAGGAAAGTCGTAAAAGGAAGCAAAATTCACTTAAACCAATGTTTCATTTAGCAACATAAATTTGGGGCTCATATTGCAGTCATGTGTCAAGGACTACCTGTGCAAGGAGAAAGGTTTTTTTTTTTTACGGTCTTAAACTATAAAAAACTCAACTGATCACATTATTGCATGTAATGCAGGGGTAGGCAACCTTGGCTCTTTTATGACTCGTGGACTTCAACTCCCAGAATTCCTGAGCCAGCCATGCTGAGGGAAAAGGGAGAGGTTTCCAAGCTGAGCCATGCTGGCTCAGGAGTTCTGGGAGTTGAAGTCCACGAGTCATAAAGGGGCCATAGTTCCCCCTTCCTGGCTCAGGAATTCTGGGCGTTGAAGTCCACGAGTCATAAAAAAGCCAAGGTTGCCTACTCCTGGTGTAGTGTATTGTGATTTTTTTTTTTTTAGACCATGCCTATGTTCATCCCCTAAAGGACATCGCTTGTCACATTCTCATCACGTAAGGTCACAATTGTGTGGCAAGACTCCTCTGACTTGCAAGCCGCCCTTGTTAGGTTCAGGGAGATCCAAAGCCACTTTAGAATAATGATGCAACCTTCAGGAAACTAGTTGATGAATGCTTGTGCCACAGCTAACTGGCTTATTCCGAAATCCTACTTTTCCTGTAAATTTTGAAATGTCAAGATTTATGAAACCATCAATCCATGATGCTCTTGTTTGACCACACCTATCATATATATATATATATATATATATATATATATATATATATATATATATATATATATATATACTGTATATAGGAGGATTTAGAAACTGAGCTGTGGTGAGCAATTACAGATTCGCTGTCACTTTCCCGACATACAATACTATAAGCTGAAAAAGATCCACTTATATCTGGTAAGTAAGGGCTGGTATTGAGGGAGCGGGGGAAGGAAGAGTTGTAGGTGTTAGAATTCTTGAGCTCATCCTCTGGTTGGTTATGATTTTATCTATTTGTATTGTTTTCCCCCTTTTATTTGTAAGCCACTGAGTCATTAAGGAACCAGGAGATTTGAACATGGAAATACTTCAGTTAACAAACACGTATGGAATGCTTCCCTATGAATGAGCTGGGACGTTTTTCCAAGCTGGATGAGAAAGAGTTTTTCCCCACTTAAGGCTCTCTGCTGTGGGCAATGAACTTGCTTTGGTCTTCAAGTCCATGAGGAAAATGCTGTGCACATAATCACAATCTCGTTGCTCTCTTGATGGATAGACGGGTGTAAGGGGCTGAGTCTTGGACCTGCTGGGGAGACATCTGAACGCCTAGCCAGATATTGGAGACTGTGTTGGAGACAGCATTGTCTCAACCGTCATGGCTAGCTCGTTTTTCTCTTAACATGACATACATGGTAGGAACTGAGAAGAAATGGTAGGAGTTGGAGAGGGTTTATGCTGATGACTCCCTGCTTTCTCTTTGCAGTCCATTGTCTGAGAAGATAATAATAATAATAATAAAGTTGGAAGGGACCTTGGAGGTCATCGAGTCCAACCCCTGCTCAGGCAGGAACCCTACACCATTTCAGACAAATGGCTGTCCAGTCTCTTCTTAAAAACTTCCAGTGTTGGAGCATTTACTGCTTCTGGAGGCAAGCTGTTCCACTGATTAATTGTTCTAACTCTCAGGAAATTTCTCCTTAGTTCCAGGTTGCTTCTCTCCTTGGTTAGTTTCCACCCATTGCTTGCCTGGCTGAGGAATTCTGGGAGTTGAAGTCCACAAGTCATAAAAGGGCCAAGTTTGAAGACCCCTGGTTTAAAGGCCTGCTCTTGGGCAGCCAAAATGACCTCCTCTGTTCAACTTTGCTGGTCTTACCCATTGCCAAATTTGTCTGCTACATTTTGTGTGAATGTGTGCTTGTGGGTGTACAGGCCACAACATATGTTTTGGCCTTGTCATGAGTCTTTTCTGTTCTTTTACTTCACCTTTCTTGCATCAAAAAGTTATTGTTCCAATTCCTCTCATGGATTGTCATTTTTATTTCCGGCTAAATTTCTAAAAGCTAGACAGTTTTTCTGGTGACACATTCCAATGGCACATCGTGTAATAAAAACTCGCTTTGAGGCTAGATCGTACTGTAAATTTCAGTCCTTTCAACCACACATTTTCCCATTGATCCATCTGTATATTATAATCACATTTCAGCCCATTTTATCATAAGCTTTTCCCTTCTTCTTACATCTCCAGTTTCAACAAACCTTTGGACAGCTTAACAATAACTTGTTCATCTTTTCCACATATTTTTTTTTCACACTCACTTACCTTGTTCAAAACCATAAAGTCTTTTACCTACTTTAAAAAAAAACAAAACCTGTTTCTGATAATAGTACTTAAGAAAACCACTGACAAGTCAGATCCAGTAATTATCAAGTGCCAAGCTGAATATGATCCATGGCCCTGAACAAATGTGTAGGTGGTTTGTCGTTTCATTGCCAAATGTGTAGTTTTTCCTATTAACGTAGGTGGTTTGAGAATCACGCTCTCTGTCTGTGTGATTGACAAGTGAAATGGACTCCCTGGCTGTGTGGTTAGGGAATCACATCTGCTGCTTACCACAGGATAGTCCTCAGAGATCCTTAACTGTGCCCATTTCAACCTATACAAGAAGGATCTATTAGCTACCTGATAGACCTCTTTCCTAAAATAGGTGTAGATGTTATATCTCTGCATTAAGAGAGGGACAGAATCAAGAAGTATTAGTACCGCTTTATAAAGCCTTAGTAAGACCACATGGAATCCAATTTTGGTCACCACAATATAAAAAAGATGTTGAGACTCTGGAAAGAATGCAGAAACGAGCGACAAAGATCATCAGGGGATGGAGGCTAAAACATATAAAGAACAGTTGCTATTTTTTTTTTAATTGAAAAGTTTTATACAAATTTATTATTACAATACAATAACCCTCCCTCCCTCCCCCCCCACCACAACCTTCTCCCCCTCACTTCCCAGAGCTGATTACATGATCTTTCAAATAGGCAGAAATTTTGGCCATTTCTGCTAAATTAGAAACTTTAAATGACCATTCTTCTATGGTAGGCAAAGAATCTTTCCTCCAATATCGCCCAACCAATAGCCTTGCCGCCGTAATTTTATTTTATTTTATTTTTAAAATTTATAAGCCACCCCACTCCCGGAGGACTCTGGGTGGCTAACAATAAAAACACATAAAACATAACAAAACAAACAGTATAAGAACAGTCATCCAGGGGTCAGATTTTATAAACCCCAGGCCTGCCGGAAAAGCCAGGTCTTAAGCAGCTGCGGAAAACCAACAGGGTGGGAGCGGTCCTAATCTCCGGGGGGAGCTGGTTCCAAGATGTGGGCGCCATCACAGAGAAGGCCCTCCTCCGCGGCCCCGCCAAATGGCACTGCTTGGCCGACGAGGCCTGAAGGAGGCCCAGCCTGTGGGATCTAACCGGACGAAGGGAACTATGAGGTAGTAGGCGGTCTCGCAAATAGCCTGGCCCTGAGCCATATAGGGCTTTAAAGGTAATAACCAACCCCTTGAATTGGACCCAGAGACCAATAGGCAACCAGTGCAGCTCACGGAGGATAGGTGTAACGTGGGTGTATCGAGGAGCACCCACTATCACTCGCGCGGCTGCATTCTGGACCAACTGTAGTCTCCAAATACTTTTCAAGGGTAGCCCCATGTAGAGCGCGTTGCAGTAGTCCAGTAGTAATAAGATTCAACATTAAAATAGTTTCTTTAACATCACAATCTTCAATAATATCTAACAAAAACAATTGTGGTGTAAACTTTATCTTTCTATTAAAAATCTTCTGAATTAAAAATCTATGTTAAGAACAACTTATCAGCAAAATTAATAGACCAGGGGAGACAGGATAGTAGTCTCCCAGTATTTGAGGGGCTGCCACAAAGATGAAGGGGGTCAACTTATGTTCCAAAGCACCAAAAGGCAGGACACGAAACAATGGGTGGAAACTAATCAAAGAGAGAAGCAACCCAGAATGAAGGAGAAACTTCCTAACAGTGAGAACAATCAACCAGTGGAACATCTTGCCTTCAGAAGTTGTGGGTGCTCCATCACTGGAAGCTTGTAAGCTGAGAGTGGACAGCCACTTTTCTGGAATGATATAGGGTCTCTTCAGTGGTGGGATTCAGCCAGTTCCCACCACTTTGGCAGAACCGGTAGCTAATTTTTTTGTTGCCCAGGCCCAAAATGGACTTCCGGAAGCGGCATCCACTCAGAGAACCGGTTGTTCACATATTTGAATGCCACCACTGGGTCTCTTGCTTGACTGGACTGGAAGACCTCTGAGGTCCTTTCCAACTCTGTTGTTCTGTTAAAAGGCTTTGAGCTTTACAGTTGGAAGCTTTACACACCCGCATGTCTTAGCAAGCTAATCACATAGATGTGCTGCGCATCGTAACGCTGTTGCAAAGGATGTTCCATTAGATCTGAACACTGAGTGGTTTGATTTCATGTTGCCTTCCTGCTAGATTCTGCCACCAGATCCTTCCTAGAAATGAAGGACACCACGTCTTTGGTTGGCACGTACTACAGTGGGAAGTCGGTCCTCGTTACAGGAGCCACGGGATTTATGGGCAAAGTCCTGGTCGAGAAGCTTCTCCGTTCCTGCCACGATGTGAAAACCATCTACGTGTGTGTGAGGCCGAAAGGTGGACGTTCCATGCAGACTCGAGTGGAGCATCTGCTGAAATGCAAGGTAGGGAACGCAAAGGTGGAGAGAAACGGGGAGCAGCTGGTAGAGTTACACTGAGTCATCAAGAGTCACTACGTTCTTTTTTTCTCTCCTTTTTTCTCATTTATCACTTAGAAGAAGAAGAGCTTATATTTTTATTGGTTAGGTATTTTTTGCCATTATGAACCTTGTTTCAGGGTGTTTCTGTTTAATGATAAAATTTCATTATTCTTTTTTTATTAAATATGTGTGTGTGAGTGTTTCTGCTTAATGATAAAATTTCATTATTCCTTTTTATTATATATATGTATATATATATTCTTCTTGTTGTTGTGCCATATCCGTTATCGGACGTTGGCGATCATGTTGGTGATCCTGTTTTTATCAGCAGCTGCACGAAAAAGTGCTGCTGCGTTTTGTCCAAACCAGTCCCTTAGATTTTGAAGCCACAATATCTCTCTCTCTCTCTCTCTCTCTCTCTCTCTCTCATCTATCTATCTATCTATCTATCTATCTATCTATCTATCTATCTATCTCTATAATCACAAGTGCATAATATTTTATCAGCAGCATATTGTCTAGGTTCTAACATGCTCAAAAAATATTAGAACAATTAACCGATGGAACAACCTGCCTCCAGAAGCAGTGAATGCTCCAACACTGGAAGTTTTTATGAAGAGACTGGACAGCCATTTGTCTGAAATGGTATAGGGTTTCCTGCCTAAGCAGGGGGTTGGACTAGAAGACCTCCAAGGTCCCTTCCAACTTTATTATTATTATATTTTCAGAAGGGAGTAAGAAGGATTTAAAAAAAAACATATATCCAAAACTAATGTATTCTTACGTTAATCCATACATTTGAAAAGTCTGCCCAGCATTGGCTCTATCGGCTAGCATTTGATGTTGCTATTCGTAATGTCAAATGAATGGATTTCCTGGTGGATTTCAACCTGAGGAACCCTGGAGCATTTTTTTTTCCTTCTTTTTAAAGTGAATATTGTCCCTTGAACTCCAGGTGTTTGACAGAGTCCGGGAAGAACGGCCCCGTTTCCATGAGAAGGTTAAGCCCATCAGTGCTGAGTTCACCAAGCCAAATCTGGCCATCTCTTCCGAAGACCGGGAGGAGCTGATTTCTGAGGTCAACGTGATCTTCCATTGTGCTGCAACGGTTCGATTTGATGAGCCCCTGAAGTAAGTTCTCCTTCCTTTCTTCTTTGTTTTATTGGAGATTACCACTTCGATATAACAATCTTCAGGCCATTTCTGAAGATTGTCTTGAGAGGGAAAAATCAGTTGCAAAGAAAGAGAGCCATGGGTGGTGTGGTTGGTTGTTATTGTGATGGTTGTTTTGGTTAAATAATTTGTAAATTCAACCAAGCCATGGTATTTCCAATTTTACAAGAGACCTCTTGTAAGATGATGTAGTCTTCTCCATGCCACATGAGATACTCCTGAAGGAGAGATTTTCAAATCCAGCACTGCAGTTTTACCACTGTGAAATTATGTTCCTCTTCAGTCCCCAAAGAGGTTCTCAGGAGACCCAAAAGGATTGGTTTGGACCTGCTCCCACACCAGCTGGACCTCATCCTAGCTTTTTGTGCTTCCTTGAGCAGAAATGCTCTTCTCCTGAACGTCTTGGGCACCCAGCAGCTCCTGAGGCTGGCCCACCAGATGAAGAACCTCGAAGCCCTCATCCACGTTTCCACGGCCTACTCAAACTGTAATCGGAGACACATAGAGGAGGTCTTTTATCCTATCCCTGTGGAGCCAAAGAAGCTTTTGGACATGATGGCGTAAGTAATGGAAACAAACCTCCCTCTTTTGCAATGGATTTGCAAGCATGTTGGAAGGGATCCATGTTGTCTCGTCCTATGCAACTTCCTTTCAAGAGAGAGAGGATTGGTGACTGTGAAGTTCCAGAAATGGTGAAAGGCTTGTCTAGAGTAGATGCACCATGGGAAGAATCCATTTTGTGATCTTTTTTGACCCAATGTTCTGTCTTCCTCTTGGTAAACAATAATGGGATGGGCGAGACTCATGCGGAAGGATGAAAGGATGGATGGATGGTTGGATGGAAGGAGGAAGGGAGGAAGGAAGGAAGGAAGGAAGGAAGGAAGGAAGGAAGGAAGGAAGGATGGATCTTTTAGGAAGACCTGCCATGTACATAAAACTTTAACTTTTCCAAGGACATGCATATGAAAATATATGAGGACTATGGTTCAAGTTTAATTTCCTCCATGGATATCTTTTGTTTTTATTTTAAAAAAATCTGTTAGGTGGATGGATGAGTCCCTCATTGAAGTGATCACCCCCAAATTGATTGGAGACTGGCCTAACACCTACACCTTCTCCAAAGCTCTGACTGAGCATCTGATCCAGCAGGAGAAAGGAGATTTAAATGTTGCCATCATCAGACCTTCCATCGTGGGAGCTAGCTGGCAGGAGCCCTTCCCAGTAAGTATGCTTCTTCTTCCAGGGCTTGGTTCTCATTCAACATGTAGTAAAAGGGTTGATTTAGGGCTATGCCCTGTATATAGGAATGCTATTCATCTGCAGGAGCGAAGCCATCACCAAGAAGCTTTAAAGCAATGGTTTGCTCTTGAGAGCGAAAACTGAATGGGCTCTACTATGGGACCTCATGCTCAGGAGGCCACGAGGTCACATAATTCCAGAAGAACATCAGCAAGGTGGACCTCATTCCCAAGCTTTAGATTAATTTTATGGAGAGAACCATAATATTGAAAAATAGAGAAATCACATGGAGGGATCGCAAGGATGCTTTTTCACGAGGCAACTGGACTTTCTTGTTTTTCTTGGAAGATGTTTCGCTTCTCATCCAAGAAGCTTCTTCGGTTATGACTGGATGGTGGGGGGGAATGGAAGGATTTATACTCCTTGCAAAAAACCTGGTCAATTGCCTTCTTTTTAGAGAATCGTTAATGCTATCTGGAGGCTTATCTGTGCCCTCAGGGTCACCTGAGTGGTGCAAATGGGTGGGGGGGGTCCTTCTTGGAACTGCTGAAAGGACTGTGTTGTAGACTGGAGATGGACGGTGTTGTATCCCTCCCCTTCTATTGAGTGAGGGCTGTTCAGTTTTAATGTAGATGGCCTCTTGGACCCCTCTTTCAAACCGGCGGTCCTCTCTGTCTAAAATATGGACTTTGCTGTGGTGTCACAGTGGTTAGAATGCAGTATTGCAGGCTAATTCACTGCCCACTGCCGGCAGTTCAATCCTGACTGGCTCAAGGTTGAATAGAACACATAAATACGACATAAATAAATAAATAAATAAATAAATAAATAAATAAATAAATAAATAAGGAACGATGCATACACCTCCCTATATTATAGGCCGCAGAGAAACAACAGAGTCTAGTTTGGATTAGGCAGACATGTGCACGGAGAGTCTTGATTCTCGGTCCTGAAAATAGTGTCTCTCCCTCCCCTCCCCCCCCCAAATTTAGCAAGCCAAAATGAGCTGTGCCTAAAACGCTACAGGCTTCACGACTTTTTTTTCTACTTTTCATTTTTCAGGGTTGGATTGATAACTTCAATAACATCAGCGGCTGGTTTATTGCGGTAAGTGGAGAGGAACGTAGGACAGGGTGTGTGTGTGTCTTCCGAATCTTTGGGCAGCAAAAGACGGAAGGAGAACCAAACTATGAAATTCTCAGCTGGAGAGAACAGGGCAGTCTAGTGACCCTTATGGAGCACAGCCCAGGCTGATCCATAATAATAATAATCTTCATTGATTAGCCCATGGACCATATCAAGTGTCAAGGTTCCGACTAATGAAACATCTTCAAAGAACTTCCAGGCATTTTATCCTAAAAAGTATTTTTATTCATGTGACAAAATGTCGGCACGGCATGATAAAAGGGATGCTAAGATCTGAAATTTCCACTCACCGAGCAGTTATTTTTCCTAGCATTTCCCCTCCCTTATTTTGCTGTCATGATTTACGTTCTCCAATTAGTTTGAAGGGCAAAGGTTCTCTTCTGTTCTCTTTCCTGGGCTTTTCCCTCCTCCCTGATTCTCCTCTGAATTAACTCTAAAAGTACCAGACAGTTCTGCATATTTTGTCAAAGCAAGAATATTCAATATTAGCAGCGTTGATATTAAGGTTCAACGTTCCAAACACACGTTATACTAAAATGCAGTAAAAACAATTTAGAGTGGAATTGGCTAAAATATAATTTAGGATGAAATAGAAATAAAATACAGTTCAAAATGAAACTGGGATAAAATACATTTTTAAAATGAAATTAGAATCAAACACGGCAATTTAAGACGTAGACAGATAAAATATGATAAAGTTATATTTCACTATCACCCCTACGGTCTACCCCACTAGACTCCGGTTTCTGGGCTCCTTCCTATGCTTTCATAAAAAGTCTGTGACTTTTATAAAAAGTCAAGAAGGAAGGGATCGAATAACAGAGTTATTCGAAGGGACCTGCAAGGTCTTCTAGTCCAACCCCCTCCTCTACCATTTCAGACAATGTTTGAAATGGGGCTGTACTTACCCATTCAGCTGCGGGCATTTCTGCTCTGCTTTCCTCTGCTGTTGAGGTTTGGGAAGAAAGGAGGTTTTGCGGGGAATTCTTTTTGGAATTCTTTTGGGCTTATAATTCCTTCCAAGCCAGACCATGTGATCAGTTTTCTCATTTGGGAGTGCCTTCCACAAATCCATAGAAGTTGTCTTCCCTATCTTAATTCAGAAGGACTCGTTCCGTCCCATTTATCTGCTAGAGAATTCAAATCGCAAAGGATACCAATTCTAGCCTAAGCCAGGAAATCAAATTATACATGTTAATTTCTTCTCTATTTCTAGGTTGCAAAAGGGATTTTACAGACTACAAAATGCAATCCGGTGGCAATAGCTGATATTATCCCGGTAGACGTAGCTATCAACTTAACCATCACTGTTGGCTGGTACACTGCGGTTCACAGGTAGGGCCTCTTTGTTGACCAAGGGATACACCATTGAAGCAGAAGGATTTTTCAAGGTTTATGCAAGTTGTCAGGAGCTGCCAAAACTGCAATTCCCTGTATCAGGGGCCTTCAAACTCGGCCCTTTTATGACTTGCGGACTTCAACTCCCAGAATTCCTCAGCCAGGCAAGCTAGCTGAGGAATTCTGGAGGCTGAAGTCCACAAGTCATGAAAGGGCCAAGTTTGAAGACCCCTGCCTTAAAGCTTCTGGGAGGAGGGGGCTTCGTGGTATCCAAAGCAAAACATCCAGATTCAGTCAGTTTTGTTCCATGCAGTATCAACCTTGTGAATTCTCAAGCTTCCTCTTTCTGCTATGTATTCAAGATGGACAGTGATTAATATTTATACGTATTTATATGTAAGGGTGTAGGTCTATACATGTGTATATAGCATGTTTACATGTCTGTTATGTATGTGTACACTTTTGAGAGCAACTAAATTTCATTTTCAATGTATGCCATTGTAAAAAATACAATAATTATCTGTCTGTCCGTCCGTCCATCCATCCATCCATCCATCCATCTAACTATCTATCTATCTACCTATCTATGAGAGAGGACAGATCAGAGCTGAACCACTGGATGCTGAAATAATTGTCACCTTTGAAGCCTCCCCAAGCTGGGAACAGGAAGATTTTATTGAAAAAGTTAGAGGATCTTTAACTGCAGTGCACAAGACAACTATCCCATTAATTGACACAGTGATGGTGTAATCCCAGGAAAGTGTGTCAGGAGCCTGACTGCCCTTGATTGTATTTGCTTTCTGACAAGAAACAATGGTTGTAAACTGATCGAAGAGAGAAGCAACCTGGAATTAAGGAGAAACTTCCTGACAGTGAGGACAATTAACCAGTGGAACAGCTTGCCACCAGAAGTTGTGGCTGTTCCATCACTGGAGGTTTTTAAAAAGAGACTGGACAGCCACCTGTCTGAAATGATACAAGGACTCCTGCTTGAGCAGGGGGCTGGACTAGAAGACCTCCAAGGTCCCTTCTAGCTCTATTCTATTCTTAACTGCAATGCACGAGACAACAGTGCCCCATTAATCGACACAATGAGGGTGTTTAATCCCAGGAAAGTGTGTCAGGAGCCTGACCGCCTTTGCAGGCTGTGATCTACCCATGATTGTCACCTGCTTCCGATCTATCTGGAGCCAATTTGACCATCCAGGCAAAGAAGATTCCCCACTCCTGCTCCAGAAGATAAACCAGGATGTCAAGGAACAGGTTAAATGGCAAATAATGATTGATGAGAATGACGGGGGGGGGGGGGGAAAGGAGTTTTAACTGTGAAGAAATCAGAAAGATTTCTTCCCCAGAAGCCTCAAGGGAAGAGAACAAGCTTGCGTCAAGCAAAGACTGGATCCCTTGGACATTGGAGCACTGTCATCTCTGGGATCTGAATGTGATCTGTGGTCCTGATATAGAAAATGAGGGGTCTGGAAGGGGGGTGGGAAGGCAAAACAAAAAAACAAAAAACCCAACAGCTGTCATCTTGTCCTTTTCAACCTGCTTTGCAAACACCTCTGATTTTGCCGTAATTTAGGACGTGCGGCATATAATCCCATTTATAGGTCGCTACAACAAATAACATATTAATACATTTGATGTATCTTCTGAATCCTGTTGTCTTTTATTTCCATTCTTTCCAGACCAAAGTCACTCCTGATTTACAACTGCACCTCAGGTAGCCTCAACCCATTAACCTGGGGAGAAGTAGGTGAGTTGTTGTTTTTATAGTAAGTAAAATAAGGGAGGCAAAAGACTCTGTAATACCACCACCACAACACTAATGAGTAGGCTTTGCCTCTAGGACAGGGGTCTTCCAACTTGGCCCTTTCATGACTGGTGGACTTCAACTCCCATAATTCCTCAGCCAGTGTTGCTGGCTGAGGAATTCTGGGAGTTGAAGTCCACCAGTCATAAAAGGGCCAAGTTGGAAGACCCCTGGTCTGGATCCAAGCCCGCATTTTCATGAAAATGGCCGACTGAGGAATCCTGGGAGTTGAAGTCCACCAGTCATAAAAGGGCCAAGTTTGAAGAGCCCTGCTCTAGGAAGAGCCATTCCTGACAGGCAGGTCCTCTATTCCCACTTCTTCACCTTGCCTAAATCATATGTGACTAAGAACCACATCTACTTTCCTGATGTTCAAATAAGTTTGCCTTGGCAAATTCACACGTCCATGAAATGCCATATTTTTCAACTAATTACCTCACTGGAAGCACTGTCTGTTTTCTACAATTTTACAGAACTTCATCTGAAGAATGCCTATGAAAAAAACCCACTGGAGAAACCCTTTAGGATCCCAAATAGCAGTATGACCTCGAGCTACTTGGTCCATCAGTACCGGACGCTTGTCTGCCACACCATCCCGGCTCTTCTCTGTGACCTCTATCTGCAGCTGACGGGAAAGAAGCCACGGTAAGATTGTGGGGTTAGGGTTAGTATCCCACCAAAATTAGAAAGGGATACTGCCCTTGTTAGCCAGCAGACTGAGCACCTTTTGCAAATGCCAGGTAATCCTTGACTTATGAACAGTGCTGGGATTCAAATAGGTCAGTGGTTCTCAACCTTTTTAATGCCGCGACCCCCAACCGGTCGTAAGTCGAGGACTACTCAACTGGTCGTAAGCCGAGGACTACTCAACTGGTGCAGCACCGTTTGCAGACTGGGACTTTTGGCGGGCTCAGCAGGGCAGAGACAGCCTGGACAATTCCTATTGGCTTTGGAAAGCCAATAGAATTAGACTCTGTTCAAGAGAGTCTATTCTATTGGCTTTCCAAAGCCAATAGAATAAAAGGGAGTAGCACAGCTAAGGAAAAGGGAGAAAAAAATGGCAGACTGCGTTGTTTGGCAACCCCCATGAAATGGTCGTTCGACCCCAAATGGGGTCCCGACCCACAGGCTGAGAACCACTGAAATAGGTGAACAACCGGTTCTCTGTGTGGATGCCGCTTCTGGGCCTGGGCAACCAAAAATTAGCTACTGGTTCTGCCGAACTGGCTGAATCCCACCACTGGGTATAGGGGACGGTGTCAAAAAACAAGTCCAGATAGCAGTTTTAGAGAAGCATCCTTAAGAATACAGACGATGTTTTTCCCAAGGTCTTTTCCATCAATTTGACTGCTTTGGGAATTTCTTAGAAAAAGGATCAGATTAAGCCTTGGAACGGAGCCTCTAGAGAAGGGGTCCCCAACCTTGGCTGGCTGGGGAATTCTGGGAGTTGAAGTCCACGGGTCTTAAAGTTGTCAAGGTTGGGGACCCCTGTTCTAGTAGATGATAGCATGCCTAAAGGACAGTGGCACCAAGCACTTTTCCCAATCATTGTGAGGCAGGATGCTAGAATCTTACCTGTTTCTCTTCTGTCTTTCAGGATGATGAAGCTTTTTACACGCTTGGAAAAAACAATGAGCCGTTTTGAACATTTTATCAGCCACTCCTGGGATTGGAGCTGTAGCAATACAAACACCTTGATGAAAGAGCTCAATGCAAAAGACCAAAGTGTAAGCATTTTATTGAACCACCGCATCATCGCAGGTCATAGATTCTGGTGGCTTTCCAAAAGGGCAAATTCCTCCCTCGGAGCCCTATGCAAAGGGTCGGTCCCCCGTAATGGTAGGTGGGAAAGACCTTGGGAGACGTGGTGAAGAGCCCACAGCTGGAAAGTGGATGGGGCAAGAGGCTCGGAAGGGTTAGGACCAGTCTTAGAATAGAATAAAGCTGGAAGGGACCTTGGAGGTCTTCTAGTCCAGCCCCCTGCTGAAGCAGGAGAACCTATATCGTCACCAGACAGGTGAAGTCTAGTCTCTTCTTTAAAACCTCCAGTGATGGAGCGCCCACGATTTCTGGTGGCAAGCTATTCCACTGGTTGATTCTTGTCACTGTTAGGAAGTTTTTCCTTAATTTCAGATTGCTTCTCTCTTTGATCAATTTCCAATCATTGTTTCTCATCCTTCCCTTTGGTGCTCTGGTGAATAACGTGACCCCCACTTCTTTGTGGCAGCCCATCAGATACTGGAACACTGCTATCATGTCTCTCCTGTTTCTTCTTTTCTTTAGACTAGCCAAACCCAAGTCCTGCAGCTGTTCTTCGTATGTTTTGGTCTCCAGGCCTTGGATCCTCTTAGTTGCTCTTCTCTGAATTTTTTCCAAACTCTCAACATCTTTTTTGGGATATAGTGACCAAAATTGGCTGTAGTATTCTAGTTGTAATCTCACTAGGGTTTTATAAAATGGTAATAATACTTCGAGTCATCTTGATTCTATGCCTCTGTTTATACAACCCAGGATTGCATTAGCTTTTTTTGGTTGCTGCTGGACCCTCCTTAGTTTTTTGGCCTATAAAAGAGAAAGCAGAAGAATTTCTGGCTTGCAAGACTCTGCTAATGTAGCTTTACCATAAAGCAGAATTATCCTATCTGGTCATATTTCCTGTGTGGTCTACCTATAAAGGGAGACAGTTCTAGAGTTAAGGACAAGGGCACGTTGGAACTTTTTTTTTTTTTTTTTGTAATAAGCACACAAATATCTAATTGAGGAAATGGAGAGCTGCATATAGCCTCTCCTTCACTGGGAATTCAACGTGCAAAAGAGAGTCAAGAAAATAATCAACTGGAACTCAACATCTATCTAACCATTTTTTGACTTGTCTTCGCTAGACTCATATATGAAAAATGACGGATAGCCAAGGCCTGGAGCCCTGCTCTGGTTGGTGGGACCCACTAGATTAATGTGGAATTTTCCTCTCCAAAGCTCAATTTATTATTCAGAAGTCATTTCATATAATATTCAGCGTAAATCAAGAATTAAATAGTCTTTCCACCTTTCTTTGACGTTCTCCCCTCCATTTCATTCCAGCTATTCTCCTTTGACATCTGTCAAGTGACTTGGTCAGAATACATAACAAATTACTTCCTAGGAACTAAGAAATATCTGCTGAATGAAGACATGGCTGGAAGTCCTGCTGCCCGGCAAAATATCACAAAGTAAGACACATACAATATTTGGGTTAAACTTTCACAACCTGAGAGTAGGATGCTTTCAGTGAATGGAATTGTGCTTAGTCACCACAAAGCACAGTGTGAAATACTTTGGGGCTGAATGCCACACGTGGTTTGGAGTGATATACTGGGGTCTTTCCTCCAGAGAAACACATGCCAGGATAAAGAGTCAGGCAGAACTAGGAAAACAGTTGAATCTATAACAATAACAGAGCTGGAAGGGACCTTGGAGGTCATCTAGTCCAACCCCCTGCTCAGGCAGGAGACCCTATACCATTTCAGACAAATGGCTGTTCAGTCTCTTCTTAAAAACGTCCAGTGTTGGAGAATTCACCATTTCTGGAGGCAGGTTGTTCCACTGCTTAATCGTTCCCACTGTCAGGAAATTGCGCCTTAGTTCCAGGTTGCTTCTCTCTTTGACGAGTTTCCATCCGTTGCTTCTTGTCCTGCCTTCAGGGGCTTTGGAGAATAGCTTGACTCCCTTTTCTTTGGGGCAGCCCCTGAGATATTAAACTAGACACACCCAATTCCAGCAATTGTTCTTCATATGTTTTAGCCTCTAGTCCCCTGATCATCTATAGACAGATACAGAATTAAAAGTATAAAAATTAAGGTTGTATTCCTTGGGTGCTTCTCTTTTCTGTGTATTCTGTTATTCTGTTCTGCTATTAATATTCCATCACACTCTCCATATTCCAGCTGGTGGTTGATCTGTTTTGTGTTGTGAATTAATTATCTATCATTGATAGTTGAGCTCCTCTTTCTCTTCTCTCTTTTGTCAGGCTAAAGACTATCCAGTGGGCACTGAAGGCCATTCTGCTTGGGATCGTCTGGCGCATATTCATTGCAAAATCACAACTGGCTCATAATATATGGTATTTTTTATTAAATCTCTGCTACAAGTTTTTAGCTACATTAGCGCTTCCAGCATCCTTAGACACTGACTGCACTTTTCTGGGGATTGTTTGCTACCCCTTGGAGTAACCTTCAAGATATCAAATCAACTCCTGCTATCTGTCTGCTTGAACAGTAACAACTGTTTAAGTCAGGGGTCTTCAACCTTGGCAACTTTAAGCCTTGTGGACTTCAACTCCCAGAATTCTGGGAATTGAAGTCCACAAGGCTTAATGTTGCCAGGGTTGAAGACCCCTGCTTTAAGTCTTCAGCAGATATCACAAGAGACTTACTCTAATTACTACTACCACCACTACTACTATTAAATTGTTGTTGCAACTTATAAACTTATAATAAACTTTATTACGGTCGCAGACCAGCAATAGCCATCACTTTTTACAATATATTAAATAATAATAATAATAAAAATAGTACTAACATTAATAGTAAATAATAACATCCCTGTTAAGAAAATACATGTTCTCAAAATGTTAGGGTCACTCCCTAATTTACGTGAGTGAATAGCCGATTAATGTGTGAGTAAATATAATGTTCCAAACATTATTAGAGGTATCTCCAAAAAATTGGCACACGTTGATGACTATAAATCTGTAACCAATTTTTTTCTTGTGGACATTGCCGCAACACCGTATTTTGCCACTGCATGCGTGACAGAAGGGTTTGAGTCCTGGAGGAGAAAGCCTTCCTAAAAGTTGTCTGCCCTCCCTGGCAATGTCTCTAATAAAGGGAGAATATACGCTGTCCTATAAACTTGGTATAACTCACAGTACAATAAAACATGTGAGATATCTTCAACTTCTCCTTTACCACATATACATACCCGTTCTGCTATTGGTGTTCTCTTATACCTGCCCTGTAGGAGTGCTGAGGGAAGAATGTTAAATCTGGCTCTGAAAAAAGCTATTCTTTGTTTTGGGAAGGTCAGATTATTCAGATATCTTGCCGATTCCCACACACCCTGTTTGATTCTATCCCTACTGTGACAAGGCAACCTATTTAGTTCTTCCTGGAACTCCATGTCCTTTATTCTATTGGATACTACTTGCTTTGCTTGGTCAAAGCCTAGGGACATTAAGAATACCGAAGAGAGCCCATAAGAGCCCAGTTTATGATCTATCGCAGACAAGCAGGGAAAATTCAAATTAAGAGAAGAATTAGAACAGTGGTTCTCAACCTGTGGGTCGGGACCCCATTTGGGGTCGAACGACCATTTCATGGGGGTCGCCAAACAATGCAGTCCGCCATTTTTTTCCCCTTTTCCTTAGCTGTGCTACTCCCTTTTATTCTATTGGCTTTTGAAAGCCAATAGAACAGACTCTCTTGAATAGAGTCTAATTCTATTGGCTTTCAAAAGCCAATAGGAATTGTCCAGGCTGTCTCTGCCCTGCTGAGCCCGCCAAAAGCCCCATTCTGCAAACGGTGCTGCACCAGTTGAGTAGTCCTCGACTTACGACCGGTTGAGTAGTCCTCGACTTACGACCGGTTGGGGGGGGGTCGCGGCATCAAAAAGGTTGAGAACCACTGATCTATCGCCTGCTTCCAGGGGGAAGGAAAGTTGTCAGTCAGCACTAACGGGGACAATCCCTCTGGAAAGAAATGCATTTTAAGCCAGTGAATGATCATCATCTTCCAGGCTCTTACCTGGATTTGGGGCATGCCTGTCTCAATTCTTAATTGGGCATTTGTTGTTGCAACGAGCGTTGACTTTCTGCCTCTACATCCATCACATTGTCCCATGGAAGCTGCATTTTTCACAATGACGTCTACCGGTTTTGTTCCGTGCCCAGCTGGGAGCCTGAAAACTGGCACTGGAAATTTTCCGCCCAGAAATACTGAAGGGTAAAAATTTCAGACGCTTCATACTGTATATAAACTGATTTCTATTGCACTGGACTAACAAGGCTAAAGATTTTGTTTTATAACAAAATCTTCATTTGGATTGAACGTACAAAAATGCCATCAGTTAAGCAACGGCATCTCGCTTCTCTTCCATTTTTTCATGATTTCTAAAGCCTAGCGATTAAATGCAGATTTAAATACAATACATTGCATATAAAATGCATGCCTTGCACAGGCTTAAAGTGGCTTTGTAGGTCCTACCCTCTTTGCAGGGGACCCCTCAGGGACTCCTCACAATAGCGGCCCCCAAACCCTTAAGGAGCCTCTGTTTACAGCATTCCCAGGAAACTTACAGTAGTGGGCAAAATTGTGGAAACCTTTTGGGGAAAATGTATTTTTGAGGTTTGATGGCTAATAACACCACTTTTTTGGGGAGTAGTACCATAAAATTATATATCAATGGAAAGATAATTTAATCAAGAATGTAATGCAACCAAGTTTGTTCAATTATCTGTACTGTGTGGTTTGAAAAGTTATAGCCAAATAATCAGAAAAAGGAAGCACAACTTGCATAGGTTGATATCAGGTAGCTTTTCTTCATCTGATTGTAGCCAATGAGCGTGAGTGTTTAGAGAGCCAATCTTGTTTTGGCAATGAGTCAATCAGATCATGGTAGGATCCAATGATTGATGTCATGTATTGAAGCTGAGAGGAGGACATTTGTCAGTGTGTTATGTGATCGCTATCAACTGGGTTGGGTTTTTTTGTGTTCTTTCATCGAGTGAGCTTGTAAAATGTAATAAAATTAAAGGAATGGTGCAAAGAGTTGATTGGTTGCCCAGAAAGCGATGTAAAATAGTATTATTAAGTGAACAAGGCTACAGTTATAAAGAAATTAGAAGAAAAAAGGTGGCATTTCTACTGTACACTTTTCCCAAAAGGTTTCCACAATTTTGGCCACTACTGTAGGTAGAAACTGTGATACCTTAAAAGGAATATTATGAAGGCCTTTCCTGCTCCCCCAGTCAGGACCATACCGTGGCTGCTTTTTAGGTGACAAAGAATTTATTTTTCCAGAACTCAAGCTGCAGGGGAAGGTTTCTGGGAAATGATAATATTTATTTATTTAGTTACATTTATATAGCTGCCCATCTACCCAGGGAACACAAACAGAAACCAAACCAAACTGGGTCAAGGCTCCCCAAATCGTATGATCAACAAACACAGTGGGACAGGATAGCAATGTTCCAATCTCTCAGGGGCTGCCCCAAAGAAGAGGGAGTCAAGCTATTCTCCAAAGCATGGAGCAATGGATGGAAACTAATCAAGGAGAAAAGCAACCTAGAACTAAGGAGAAACTTCCTGACAGTGAGAACAATTAACCAGTGGAACAACCTGCCTCCAGAAGCTGTGAATGCTCCAACACTGGAAGTTTTTAAGAAGAGACTGGACAGCCATTTGTCTGACATGGACGGCGCAACATGGTGGAAAATGTTGAGAAGGGTCTTATTAAAAGTTCTTAAAATCCTTATGATGGGAATATAAATGCATCAGACTTCTTTTGAAATCATTTTACTGTGGTTAGGGAAGAGTTCCAATAACAGAAAAAGGAAGAAATAGTTTCAAATTTGAGTCAATTTCTTTCCCTGGGCAAGACACTATGTATCAGAAACTCTATTACAACATTTTAGCAGAATCCCTAGAAAGCAAAGCAAAACAAACCAGTCCTGGATTTTTTTTTCTTAAAGAAAAAAAAAAGACTGAAAAAAAAATAACAAATTCAAAATAAAGCCAAGGGCTGCCTGGCAAGATTGTGAGAGGGTGGAGAAGATGCAAACAAAAAACAGAAAAAGAGCTTTGGATTTTAGGTGGAGGGGACGACCCACCAACCAGAAGGGCAATCTGTTGCAAGAGTGACAATCCCCATCACCCCCCCCACACACACCAAGGCCGGCTAATGGGACCTGTAGTCCAAAGTATCTCCTATAGTGTGCATATAACCCTATTTTTATTTTTATTTTATTTCTTGGGTATGTATGACATTTTTAGGTTTTGTTTTTTTTTTTTTTGTAAAAACTGAGCATTTTAAGCAGGGGGGGGGAACCTGCTCAACATGAGCAAAAAAAAAAAAAAAAGCAGCTCTCTGTTGCAGGAAGGGACCATCTCTATCAACACCCCCACCACCCCGCAGGTGGCTGATGGGACTTGTAATCCAAAGCATTCCTCAGTAGAAGCCCAAAGTCACCCTCTGGATCTCTCACTGCTACAAAAATGATGGGGATATTTTAAAAACTGGAGCTTTGCAGCTGGGGGAGGGGGAGGAGGAAGCAACCACCAACCCTATTCCGGCCTCTCATGCGCAAGGGGAGACTCGCTGGCTGCCTGACGGATGGGATTTGTAGTCCAAGGGTCCCCGGGTGGGGCGAAGGGTGGTCCCCTAGGTGGGGCGAAGCCTTGAGGAGAAGGCATTACACAAACACACACGAACACACAAACACACACTCAGCGTCGCAGCCGCCCAATCGCCTTCACCTGCGCGGCCGAGGCCCACCTGGCCGTCATGAGGCGCTTCCCGCGCGCCTCGGCCGTCTCCATGGCAACCGCCCCGCCCGCCGGGCAAACGGCCGAGCGCTCGCGCCTGTCTTTGAGCGCGCGCCTTTCCCGCCCAGCGGCCCTCGGGCCGCCTCGCGGGCGCTTTCCTTCACGCCCATCTCGCCCGTTGATTGGCTGCTCCGAAAAACGCGTCCCTCGGATTGGCTGAGCGGCCTGTCCCCCCTCCTCTCTTTCTCTCTCTCCGAGAGGCGGGGACATTTAAAAAGTCGGCGGGCTCCTCAGGCTGAGTGGGCGCGCCTCAGAGATAGCGGACGCCGCTCCCGTGTCTCTCGGTCCCCGAAAGGGACGATGCTGCGGGGCGCCGGAGGGTTAAAAAAAAAAAAAAAAAGTCTCTCTCCGGCGCTCCCGCGGCCCAAAGTCCTCGAGCTCGAGGCCGGGCAGGGCCTTTTGAGCTTTGAGGTAATTCTAGCGGAGATGCGAGAATTACCTCAATTGTGAGATGCGTGAGGAGAGCGCGAGTTCTTCAGCTAATTAATAGCTGACTGTTCTCGGGGAGTCCGGATAGCACCTGTGGTGGTTTTAAGCGCGGCGTGTATTCTTTGGAGTAAAAGGCCAAGGGTGGCTGAGGTAATACCTCAAGGGTGTTTTATTCAAAGGAGGCGTGGCCAAGGATCCGGGCCTAAGCACCCCATTCCGCTCCTGAAGGGGGTCTTTCAGCCTGGATTACCACTCTGGGACACTCACCCTGAATGAGGAGGCGGCCAGTCAGCTCCCAGGCTCATTCGGCCCCTGAGCAGACATTTTGTGAGACTCCCACTGGAAGAGAGACCCTTTCAGTCCCTGAGTGAGCAGCCAGAGCGAATCACACTGGAGGAGAAAACACACTGGAAGCCTCTCCCAGTCCCTGAGCATTCCCAGCTGAGTCTCAAACTGGAAGAGAACCCTTGTGGCAGGAGCACAGGCGAGTTGATGGAGTGCGTTTCTCGGGAGGAAGGCTGCACTGCTCCTGAGGCCCTCTTGACTCATACCAGACACCTACACAAGGCAGAGATGATGCCAAGGCACTCCTGACGGATGGGGGTCTTTCAATCCCTGAGTTACCACTCTGTGAGACTCACACTGAATGAGAAGGCAGCCAGTTGGCCCCCAGGTTTCTTTGGTCCCTGAGCAGACTCTGAGACTCAGACTGGAAGACTCTCTGGGGTCGCCCTGGGAGACCCTTTCGGTCCCAGAATGAACAGCCAGGGCGAATCACACTGGAGGAGACAACACCATGGAAGCCTCTCCCAGTCCCTGAGGACCCCCAGCTGAGTCTCAAACTGGAGGAGAACCCCTGTGGCAGGAGCACAGGCGAGTTGATGGAATGCATTTCTCGGGAGGAAGGCTGCACTGCTCCTGAGGCCCTCTTGACTCACACCAGACACCTACACAAGGCAGAGATGATGCCAAGGCACTCCTGACTGATGGGGGTCTTTCAATCCCTGAGTTACCACTCTGAGACTCACACTGAATGAGAAGGCAGCCAATTGGCCCCCAGGCTTCTTTGGTCCCTGAGCAGACACTCTGTAAGACTCCCACTGGAAGGGAGACCCTTTCATTCCCTGAGTGAGCAGCCAGAGCGAATCACACTGGAGGAGACAACACACTGGAAGCCTCTCCCAGTCCCTGAGGACCCCCAGCTGAGTCTCAAACTGGAGGAGAACCCCTGTGGCAGGAGCACAGGCGAGCTGATGGAATGCATTTCTCGGGAGGAAGGCTGCACTGCTCCTGAGGCCCTCTTGACTCACACCAGACACTCCTCCAAGGCAGAGGTGATGCCAAGGCACTCCTGAGGGGGGTCTTTCAGCCCCTGAATTACCACTCTGTGAGACTCACACTGAATGAGAAGGCGGCCAGCTGGCCCCCAGGCTCCTTTGGTCCCTGAGCAGACACTCTGTGAGACTCAGACTAGAAGACTCTCTAGGGTTGCCCTGGGGGACCCTTTCAGTCCCTGAATGAACAGCCAGGGCGAATCACACTGGAGAAGACAACACCCTGGAAGCCTCTCCCAGTCCCTGAGGACCCCCAGCTGAGTCTCAAACTGGAGGAGAACCCCTGTGGCAGGAGCACAGACGAGTTGATGGAGTGCATTTCTTGGGAGGAAGGCTGCACTGCTCCTGAGGCCCTCTTGACTCACACCAGACACCTACACAAGGCAGAGATGATGCCAAGGCACTCCTGACGGACGGGGGTCTTTCAATCCCTGAGTTACCACTCTGTGAAACTCACACTGAATGAGAAGGCAGGCAGTTGGCCCCCAGGCTTCTTTGGTCCCTGAGCAGACACTCTGTAAGACTCAGACTGGAAGGGAGATCCTTTCAGTCCCTGAGTGAGCAGCCAGAGCGAATCACACTGGAGGAGACAGCAGCCCCCGGCTGGAAGCCTCTCCCAGTCCCTGAGCATCCCCAGCTGAGTCTCAAACTGGGTGACCCTTTCGGTCTCTGAGTGAGCAGCCAAGGTGAATCACACTGAAGGAATAACAGAATAGCAGAGTTGGAAGGAACCTTGGAGGTCTTCTAGTCCAGCCTCCTGCTCAGGCAGGAAATCCTATACCATTTCAGACAAATGGCTGTACAATCTTTTCTTAAAAACCTCCAGTGATGGAGCATTCACCACTTCTGAGTGAGCAGCCAGGGCGAATCACACTGGAGGAGACAACAGTGCTCAACTACAAGCTTCCTCCAGTCCCTGAGGATCCCCAACTGAGTCTCAATCTGGAAGGGAATCCTTTTGGATCGTTTCCCTTCCACCTTCATACCCTGAGAAATAATGTCGGTAGCAACCAGATCTCATAGAACCAAAAGTAAATCTTGTGTCGAACTTTGTTATGGCATTGCCATCTCAATAAATTAATAACTAGATTTTTTGCTGAGGTGAGACATTAGGTCCTCGAACTGGAAGATAAATCTGTGTGGCCCTTTTTAATTCTAGATGTGGCCGTTGAAACCCTGAGTAGATTTCTTGCCTGTCTTAATTTAGGCATGATGTTGGTTCTTAGAACCAGAAAACATCTCAATGGCCCTTTTTAATGCTGGGTGTGCCGGTGATTAATAATAGATTTTATAGTTTTCTGCCTGGCATAAATTTAGCCCTGGCGATGGTTCTTAGAACCAGAAAGAAAACCTCAATGGCCCTTTTAAATGACCAGTGTGTGGCCAGTGCTTGATAATAGATTTCTGTTTTTCCACCTGGGAATAATTTTATCCTTGGCTGTTGTTTAAAATGTGTAAGTTATATTTTGACTGGTAAATAATCACGGCACACAGTATGTGGCCATCACCGCAATAATTTTGATTTCTTCTGTCACACACATTCATCTTTTTGTTTCTGAAATATCTCTAAATGGGATTCAGACTTGGTAACATTCTCTTTGACGTGTATTTTTTGTAATAAAGCTGAGTTTTACTCCTAATTTACTGTTGTTAAATAGTTGTGATGCTTATGGTAGACAAGATATTTTATCTTTCGCCTGTTTTATGTATTCTTTATGTATCTGTTCTTATCACCATCTCTTCACCAAGAGATACTCGTTATGACACTCATGTATTTGAACACTGAAGTTGCGTTTTCTTTCTTCTGAGAGAAAACTTTTGATGACAACTGTTGTTTCTTTTACACCTTACCTTTTTTTTTTATCAAAAATGTCATTTTAGATTAGTGAACTATTTAACCCCATCATGGTATTTTATCATTGCTTTTGTAATTTTTACAATTTTTACAATGATAAAAATGTGACCTTTTATCCTTAAAATATTGGATGATATTTTTATGTATTTTATCTTTAGGACTGTATTATGTTTTGAATTATACAAACTGTTGCAGCTGGGTTATGCTTGGAAGGTGTGATGCTTGTGTTAAACAATAAAGTATTTGGAACTACTTTCAACTATATTTGTGATCCTGCAGTCAGAGCATGGGCCTGTTGGGCACCTTGCCGGGGATCATTATTTTGTAAGGGTTTGGGGTTTTGGTGTATTCAGAAATGTCTCTTCTACCCAAAAAAAAACTTCCAATGAAATTATTTTTGCACTTTTCATAACATTATTTTTGATCTCTCTCTCTCTCTCTCTCTCTCTCTCTCTCTCTCTCTCTCTCTCTCTCTCTCTCTCTCTCTCTGTCTCTCTCTCTCTCTATCCAGTAACCTTTTCTGCTGTACCTTAGGGAAAAAATGCCATGGACTTACCTGGCCACAGGAGGGCAGCATTCCCTGTTTTGCCATCCTCCGTGTCCTATTAGAAATGAAATTTTAGCTCCTGGAATTATCTTTTATATTCCTGACAGCCCCTTCTGTGGCTGCTTTGAGCTTTCATCAAAGGAAGGAAATGAAAGAATAAAAATAAGCCACTCCAGGGCTTCTTTGCCAAATGTTGCAGCACACACTGGCCACAGGAGGGCAGACTTTGCTGCTTTGACTAAACTCAGTTTTATGGGTGTTTGCTTATTATATATATTCCTTTATCAAAGGTGTAGGCTGAGTGCCCCTAGGAAAAAAGCACTGAGTTTAGGAATCATAAGTCCCTAGAATTCTTGATCAGGGGTTGATAAAAGGTGTCAATAAGAGGGCAGACTTTCCTGCTTTTGCCAGCTCTGCTTGGGGTGAAGAGAATCAAAGTCCTGCCACAAGACCTCCCACTTGCTATTGGTACAGCCTCCACAAAACAACACAACTCCATATTTTGAGCTGGAGCACAGGCTTGAACCAGGGGAACCGGTCAAAGGGACATTTTCCCCCAATCCTGAATTAACCACAAAACAACAACTAAAATGAGAATAGTTTCTTCTTTCTGTATGTTTTTCCTTCTTAATAGTGGAAGAAAATATAGTGAACAGTTGTTTTAGGATAATAATAATAATATAAAATAGAGCTGGAAGGGACCTTTGAGGTCTTCTAATCCAACCCCTTCCCTGCTCAGGCCATGGTTGTCCAATCTCTTCATAAAAATTTCCATTGTTGGAGCATTCAACAAGAGCAGCATAAGCATAAGTCAGTATATCATGTTTATTTAATTTGTTTAATAATGAGCCTGCTTGTCAAACCTAATCAGGAATTTGTACTCTGTTCTTAACAAGGGTAAAAGACTATAATATAATAGAAGCCTCTATCACAGCTTCACAAACTACTTAACCAGATGCCTATCAAGGATACATAAAATATAAAAGAGGTTAAGCGATATTTTTAAGGGAAAGCATGTCTTCTCAAATGAAGAAATGCTAAAAAACACAGGTTAAAAATACAAGCAAATAACGTCGGAGTTCTTCCCTGAAGCTCATTCTTTCAAGACTGCAAGCAAACTGGGAAACTGGACCTGAATAAGATTTGATCTATTAAACATAACATTAGCCAGCTGTACATCTTGAAATGAGTGGGCCAGGGTTCCCACCTTGCTGGGATAACTTCTCTTCTAAGGACAAGGTCATCATGAGAGATGCTAAAATCAGTGACTATCAACACAGACCACTCCTTAAACCTGAATTTAAAAACTAACAGATCTGTTAGTTAGTTGTGTGTTAGAACAGATCTTTTTACAACTTAATGTTACAGAATGTTTTTTCCACTGATGTAAAGAAATCTAAAACAAAAACTCTGTGATTCAACTCTAAGCACAAAGACAGATGGAACAATCTTATGATAATTATGTCTAAACGAAACAAGATAGTCATATAATGCAAAGGAATTCTGGGTTAAACTTTGGGAACAGATACAATAGTTGAATCTGCCAAGCAAATTTCATTAAAAAGATATTTAGGCTGGGCTGTAGACATACTGTTAAATTTGTTCAAAAAGGTCAAGAGGAAATGTTCGACAAATTTTAAAAAAACCCTGAGGCTCATCAGGACCGCAGGGAGCAGGGCACTTTATATTGGACTACGAAGATATCTAAGAAGAAAAATGAGGGGTACTTCCTGGAAGGAGATTCCTGGGATTGAAAAAGAAAGGAAAAGAGACGGATCTTGTTGCTGCGGCCGATTGGCTCCACAGGCAAGCGAGGCTGCATACATTGAAATTGATTAAATCATTTCCAGGCAGAAGAATGTCCAGTTGCTTCTGAATTCCCTGCAAAACTTGGAGCTGAGCTTGTTGGTTGAGGATAAGCTGGTCAAAGTTCTGCCTCATCTTGGTGACTGTGGAGAAAGAGGTTGGTATCATTTCCCATCCCAAAAACACCACAAACAATCCAGCGGAACGTCTACACACTTACATTCCTCAAGCAGGAATTCAGACTGATCCCTTCTCATCTCGTCTGCTCTACCTTCCTGGTTTACCGAAGGATGTTCTAGACCTAGATGGAAACAGGGGAGAAGTCTACATGTTAAGGGTCACCACGGTTTGAAGCTTCAATAGTTGAGCTTGGAACTTCACAAACACTCAAGTGGGCAGTGAATAAAGTTCTTTTTCTGCCCTGGGGAGGGGGGTGGATGCTGAGCTTCTTCACCCACAAAATGCGACTACAAAAGAGGTTTGTTTGTCTTCAGTTCTTGGCTTACGAAGTACACCGAAGAGGATCCACCATTGTTGCCCAAAAAAAGTCCCAACGATGCTTTTTTCCAAAATTCAGCTGGATTTTCTTGTTTTTTTTCTTTGAAAATGTTTTACTTCTCATCCAAGAAGCTTCTTTAGTTCATGAACTTGGATGGGAAGCAAAATGTTTTCAAAGGGTGTGTATATATATATATATATATATATATATATATATATATATATATATATATATATATATATATATATATATATATATATATGGAATGGTTGCCAAAGTTGATGGAGTTAGCAGAGATGGCCAAATTGATTGCTTTGATAAAAAAAAACAATTATTTTTGTTTCTACTTAGAAATCACATCTGGACTTTGTGCTTAAAAAACGAAACTTAGGGTTTTACTGATTATATGGATCTGTTGTTACAGAAATGGCTAGTTTATATTATTATGTAAAAGTAAAAAGATGTTACTATCCTATTTTACTGCACCAAAGGGATTTGGAAATCAATGCCTTTTTTTATTTTTTTCCCTTTTCTACACTTTTCCCTTTTCCCTCCCCTATTTTCCTATTATTTGCTTTTGCATTTTTGTATTTTATATTATAGACTAATAAGAAGGATAAAACCGAGAAAAAAATCATCCTTGACATGACTACAATTAAATCCAAAATTTGTGTTCCTAAGCAAAACATCTGTTCAGTGAGTTTTGCCCCAGTTTACAACCTTTGCCATAATTGTCGAGTCAATCACTGCAGTTGTGAAGTAACACGGTTGTTAAGCGAATTCCGTTGACTTCGCTTGTCAGAAGGGGGATCACGTGACTCCGGGACACTGCAAACCGTCACAAATACAAGTCAGTTGCCAAGCATCTGTATTTTGATTATGTGGCCATCGGGATGCTGTTAGGATTGTAAGTCTGAAAAATGATCATGTCACTTATTTTCAGTGCTGTTGTCACTTCAAATGCTCATTAAATGAACTGTTATAAGTTAAGGACTACCTGTATTAACTTCCCTGCATGTAGGTTGTAAAAAAAATTCACAGAAGTGACTGCCTCGGCATATCACACTAAGCCACCATATATCTTTGAGGGCTTAGTGCCGAGGTCTTCACACTTAGCCCTTTGATGACTTGTGGACTTCAGCTCCCAGAATTCTGGGAGTTGAAGTCCAGAAGTCATCAAAGGGCCAAGTGTGAAGACCCCTGGGCCTTAGTGTAATGTGTGAAGATCCCATTTCTCCTGAAGGCTAAAGGTCAACCATACCTGCTTGAGGTTTGCTTGGCGCTGATGGCGAATGGCTTATCTGAAGCTTCGCGAAATCTTCGCGAAGAAAAAATAGCTTCATGCCCTTTGAATGGCTGTACGTTCCCTCTTCTCTCTGCTTTCTAATGTGGCTTTTGACATTACTGGCCGTCTTCAGCAGTTGGCTTTTACTACAGATTGGAAGCTGTTCTGTCTGGGCAAAGGTCTCCCTATATGCAGCGTATGCCGAACGCTTTGAATTTGTGTGTCTCCATTGGTGTATTAAGAGGAAGGATTTTTTGCTGAAGCTCTTCTCACAAACCACACACTTAAAGCTCCTGTCCTTGGAGTGTCCTTTCAAGGGTTTTCCTAGCCCAATTTCACCACGAATGGTCATCCTGTGCTCCTTGCCCTTGTAAGGCTTCATCTGGGTAGATCTTCTGGACAGTGGGCAGACATCTGCTTCTTTGGGAGGAACTTTACTCTTGATGCCGTTTCCAAATGGTTCTTCAGAAGCAGGAAGATCCTTGGGGACCTTCCGTTTTTCCTTTGGAGAAGAGGTCAAGACTTGTGCAGTTGCCATAGGAGATTCTTCTTTGGGATGACTCATGCTTCTTCCAGTCCACTTGTGGTTTTTGTACCAGCTGGGATTAAAAGAAGGTGGTTACCAACATGGATGATATTACCTATAGTTCGGGTAACAAAACGCCTGCAACAGCCTGCACTTGTCTTCAAGGGACACAGGACAGAAAACATCCAGCAGCCAAGAAGGCTCCACTCTCATTTGCACCCTGAAGACACAGATAAACCTCCAAGTGACCTCAACGACTCTCTAAAACAGTGGTTCTCAACCTTTCTAATGCCGCGACCCCATAATACAGTTCTCCATGTTGTGGTGACCCCCAACCACTTATACATCACCGGGTGCCAGGGGCATGGCCAAAGAAAAGGGGGAAAAATGGCGGACAGCCTTGTTTGGCGACCCCCATGAAATGGTCGTTCGACCCCAAATGGGGTCCCGACCCATAGGTTGAGAACCACTGCTCTAAAAGAAGGCAAAGGACCAGCTGTCTGCAAGGAGTATGAATCCTTCCACTCCCCTCAACAGAGGGATAGAATCAAGATCGCGTGAAGTGTTAATACCACTTTACAAGGCCTTAGTAAGGCCACACTTGGAATACTGCAACCAGTTTTTGTCACCACGATGTAAAAAAGATGCTGAGACTCTAGAAATTCTAGAGTACAGAGAAGAGCAACAAAGATGATCAGGGGACTGGAGGCTAAAACATACAAGGAACGGTTGCTGGAATTGGGTCTGTCTAGTTTAATGAAGAGAAGGTCAAGGGGGGACATGATAGCAGTCTTCCAGTATCTCAGGGGCTGCCCCAAAGAAGAGGGAATGAAGCTATTCTCCAAAGCGCCTGAAGGCAGGACAAGAAGCAACGGATGGAAACTCATCAAGGACAGAAGCAACTTGGAACTAAGGAGAAACTTCCTGACAATTAGAACAATTGATCAGTGGAACGACCTGCCTCCAGAAGCGGTGAATTTTAAGAAGAGACTGGGCAGCCATTTGTCTGACATGGTGTAGGGTTTTCTGCCTGAGCAGGGGGTTGGACTAGATGACCTCCAAGGTCCCTTCCAACAACATCATCGTTGTTGTTGTTATTATTATTATTATTATCCAGTCCAAGTGGAAGAAGCCTCTTGGATGAGAAGTGAAATGTCTTCAAAGAAAAACAAGAAAGTCCAGCTGCTTCCTGAAAAAACACCTTTGGGACAACCATGAGCTGGAGGACAGAGAATCACCACCGATGTCTGCAAGAAAACAACCAAGCTCAGAGAGTACCGAGGACCCTTCATTTCAACCCTAAACTGCAAACCTCTCCCCCTCTTTACAACCCTGTAATCCCTTAATTCAGGGTAGCTGGATGGAGCTGAGCGTTTACTAGCCAGATGCCCTTCCTGACACCTCTGCGGAGGTTCACAGCAGATTTTTTTTTTCTTTGTGCCCTAGGGGAGAAACATCTGCTGTTACCTAGGATTGAACTCTCAACCTTCGGAATGGGAGGCAAGCATTTCCACCACTAGACCACCATGCCGTTAAAGGACAATACCTTTAATCAGTTTTGCCATAAGAAGCATTATCTCAAGCACCCCCTGGAAGCATCTTCAAAATTGGAACCTTCTCAAGAGGTGGGACAGGCCCCAGGCTTGGGGAAACAGGGCAGATTCAGGGTGAGAACTGGAAAAATTCCCCCCTGAAAGCTCTTTCAGCTCATTGCATTGCAAGCAGAATCAAAAACGGGGGTCTTCCAACTTGGCCTATTGATGACTTGTGGACTTCAACTCCCAGAATTCCTCAGCCAGCGTGCACGCTGGCTGAGGAATTCTGGGAGTTGAAGTCCACAAGTCATCAATGGGCCAAGTTGGAAGACCCCTGATCAAAAACCTTTACAAACCCTGGCCTGATTTCAATAGGTTACTTCCCCTTTTCATTAGAGCAGAGTTTCTCCAACTTGACCACTTTAAGATGGGTGGACTTCAATTCCCAGAATTCCCCAGCTAGCATGGGAGTTGAAGTCCACCCATCTTAAAGCTGCCAAGGTTGAGCATGCTGGGTTTGGGATGTTTCTCTTAGCACACACAATAACAGAACAGAATAACAGAGTTGGAAGGGACCTTGGAGGTCATCTAGTCCAGCCCCCTGCTCAGGCAGGAAACCCTACACCATTTCAGACAAATGGTTATCCAATCTCTTCTTAAAAACCTCCAGTGTTGGAGCATTCGCAACTTCTGGAGGCAGGTTGTTCCACTGGTTAATTGTTCTCACTGTCAGGAACTTTCTCCTTAGTAGTTCTAGGTTGCTTCTCTCCTTGGTTGCTTCTTGTCCTGCCTTCAGGTGCTTTGGAGAAGAGCTTGACTCCCTCTTCTTTGGGGCAGCCCCTGAGATATTGGGAAACTGCTATCATGCTGCTCATACACTCACTCCCATTCCTGGCTGAGAGCAAATTGTTCATTTTATTTTATTTTACTTATTCAGTGTTGACACCACTCAATTCTACCCACTTCTGGCCAGCTCACAAGAATAAAAACGAAGTAGACCAAATAAACTACAAAAATAGCTACCGAGTAATTGCAAGAGGCAATCCAGACAATGCATCAAAACACAAAACATAACAAAATGAGAAGTAATAACAACACACTGTGGGAAGACATCCATTGAGGTTTGTTTTGTAAACCGCAATCTAGTACATTGGGTGAACAAAATACCTTGGTTTTTAAAATGCGAGGCTCAGGCGAGAATCAAAATTAATTCAGCTTCTTGCGTACGGGAGCGCACAAGAGAAGCCGAAATATATTTCTCAGATGCAATGGAATTCTTGCCCTATTTCTCAAGCAGCTAAATGAACACAGAGATAATCAGAAAAAAGAGTTGCCCCAATGGCCAAGCACCATCTATTCTAAAGACATCTGGCTGTGTTGGAAAACCTACAAACCCATGTTTGTCAAAACAGTGGCTTACTCATTTAAGCCAAGTGTGTGGGTACTTAAAGAGACCAACCCACAAAGCACCCCGTTAGGACATGCCCAACATACTTGGTTAAAATGTGGTTCTTTGATTTGCAGCTTCGTGCAGTGTGCAGCCACAGCCATTTAACCAAAAGCTCACATTCCCCCCCCCCTTGCCAGTGTAAGTACTCCAGTTAGCTTAATACACAGCTGAACTTTCCAGGTTTCCCAAAAAGAGGATGAGAGATGGACTTAAGAAGCTTTAGCAAAACATTTGAAGAATTTCAAGTTGCATGCTGGCAAAGTTAAACACCCCAAGACAAAATCGAGAGCTGACAATAGACCCACCTGTTATTCCCCCCCCCCAAAACCCCTCAGCTTTTAAATTCTCTTCCCAAAATTAAGAAATAAGAGACACCAACTCTGTAACTTATGGACAACACACCTGATGAGAAATATCTCAGACTTTCCTTTTGGCTCTTCATAGGAATGGCTGTTCCCGTATCCCTCCTCTTTCAGCTGCTGCCAATCAAAAGAACAGTCTCCTTAAATAGGCTTTGGCCATAGGAGTGATAGCAGCAGGTCTTTAAACACCTTTGTTTTAACTAGGGGGAATTAAAAAAAAAACACCTCTAACAAGGCTAGGACTTAGGATAGGCTTCTCAACCTTAGCAAGCTTAAGAGGGTGGACTTCAACTCCCAGAATTCCCTACCCATGCTTGGCTGGTAGCCTGCTTAGCATTCAAAGCTTGCTAAGGTTGGGAAACACTGCCTCGGGAAGATCCCATCTTAAAAGAAATGCCCAAGCAATAATTCTTCATAATTTCTCTGTCTGCTTCAGAAACCAACAGAATGGAAATCAGTTCTTATTTCCAGAATAAAGACGCTGTTGGGGGGGGGGAAATAGGGTGTTAATTAATTGATATAAGAGGGGACAGCATAATTGTATTTTTTTTTCTTTCTTAAAATATTAATCAATCCATTTATTATTACAGCCAAGGGCCAACACATAAATTAAACATTCAAATAAAACAAAACTAAACAGAACCAACACAAGAAGACATAGCAATATATCAGCATTAATGATGTAATCAATGGGTGACCAAGGTCTGCCTAGTTTTACAGACAGTATAAAAAAAAATTAGCTAGCTTCAGAAAAACTGAATCATACTGGCCTGACAGTAAAAATACATTAACTATAGTCTAATGCTGGATAAAAACATGTAAAATATTACTCTTATTTCTCTATTTCCTCCTTGCTTTAAATGTTTTGCTACATTGAAAAATTCTAATAATTTGCATGTGTGCATGTATACATACATGTATGTATACAACCACATACGCACACACTGGTACACACACACACACAGACCTACAGTTTGAAACTGACTGTCAAAAGCCCCGCAGGTTTATTTCCTGTATATGCTAAGGAAAATTCCGTTTTAGCGCATCCCTACAGCAATGCACGCAGAACAATGCAAAACAACAACAACAACAAGGCATTGCTTTCTGTGAACGCTGCTCTGGGTATGCAGGGAACTGCAGCCTCCATGTTTTTATCTAAGATTTCACACAGAGAAGGGAGGTTAAGTTCGCACCCTATAATTTACCGAGCAACCAGTTTTTAAATTGGATTTATCGGGATGAAAACTGGTTCCCAGCGCTTGTGCAACGCAGAAGAGCAGTTGCACATATAAAAGGTGTAAGAGATTAGGCTGGATTGGGGAGCTTCAGCTGCAAATGAAAAGCTTTGCTGTTTGGCTCCAGGGCACAGAAGAAAATGCTGTTGGAGCTTGTGTAGGTAGGGATGTTTTGAGTTTATTGTTCTCTAAAAGGATGTGTTTTTCTCAGGACCTAACAGTCGAGTCTGGAGTCCAGCTGGAAGAAGAATGCACCGAAGTAGTTTTCGTGACAACAGTATGGGACTCAATCCTGGCTTCTGGATGCTGGCTTCATTTAGACGACCAATTTCAGCTTGGGCTGAGCTCAGCCAAGGTTAGTTAAATCCCGCCACCTCTTGAGCCTTTGAGGAATTACACATCAAATTCAGAATAACACAGCTGGAAGGGACCTTGGAGGTCTTTTAGTCCAACCCCCTGCTCAGGCAGGAGAACATATTCTTCTTCTTCTT